CATGTATACCAAATTACACCCCTTCAACTTTAGACCCTCTAAAAACGGCATGACTCCACCAGGTAATTCCTCCAAGGGCCTAGAAACAATACAAAGAATAATACTCCATCTATTCCAAAATAACCATTATGTTTTTTTATTTTAAATTTATCTCAAATTAATTATCATTTTTTTATTTTTTATAATAGAAAAATATTTTATTTCATACTTTAATCCTATTTTTATATTTTATTTTAATAATTATTCTATCACAAAAAAATTTCTTTTTCTTTTTAATTTTTTTAAGAGTAATATAGGTTAATACATATATTATCCCTAAATCTTTATTTTTGAACATGAGGGAATTCGTCCAAAACCAGGGCTTGCTTTATGTAATTTAGTTTTATTAGTATATTGGAGAACGAGGACAATTTATTTGTGAAACTGTTATAAAAGTAGCAGCAATTATTTGATCATTCGATGTGGAGTACTAGAAATTGATAGTTCCGGTGTTGCCGTTGATACTTGCTGATTCGGTGCCTGAATTAATGCCTCCGGCGCCAGGGCCTTTGTTGAGATTTCCCTTAGGTGGGACTGTCTCTCCGTCACGCTTATTGGAGTTGATCTCTCCTCTGTTGTTGTTGATACTCGCGGATTGTGCACCCGTGTTGTGAGCTCCAGCACCGGGACCTTTGTTGATGTTTCCGGTGGGAACAGCCCCAATATTGTCATGTACCGGAGAGACGGAGGAGGGGGTTGGGGTCTGGACCGGCCTCACAGCTCCACTGCTGCTGGGGGCGGGGGCCTTATTTGGGACCGGAATGTTTTTTTTAAGATACTTTCTAATACACATTGCGGGCACGAATGACTTGTTTGTGATACGCATGGCCTAAGAAACTTGCTTCATTTATATAGGAAAAAATGAACATAATAAATAGATTTTTTCTTTTAGAAAAAAAAAAGAGATTATTTTGAAAAAAAAATGTTGGACGGAAAGATGATTCTTGCTGCATGAGGTGACATCTTAAATTAAATTTTATTGTGGACAGAGTGATTCTTTTTTTCCTTTTTTGGTCCATACAGAGCGATTCTTTTTACATTTATACGGAATAGACGAAGTGATCCTTTATCGATTAATTTGGTTCATAGAAAATAAATTGACTATCTTAAAGTCTAATGAATACCGAGAAAAAAATTTTAAAAAAATATATTGACTATTTTTTATATTATTTGGGAAATCAGTGTGCTTTGCTAGGTAACTATGATTCAAAATCAAATTTCTGAAATTAATATAAGTAATGCCGAGTCAAACTATTTATTTTTGGTATTCCTTATTTTCCATAAAACCTAATATTCTTGGATTCAAATAAAGCATAATATTCCTATCATTCGTAAGCACTCTATCTGGTTATCAATGGAAGTTATTA